CCTTGAGTGTTTTTTTTTTTTTGGTGTTGGTCGTGGAGCTTGAACTCTGGGCCTCTTCAGCTTAAGGCTAGTGCTCTACCACTTGAGCCACAGCCACCACTTCTACTTGAGCCACAGCACCACTTCTGATTTTCTGATTTTCCTGCTCGGGCTGGCTTTGAACCTTGAGATCCTTAGATCTCAGCCTCCTCAGTACTAGGATTACAGGCCTGAGCCATGGGCGACTGGCTCCTGAGTGGTTTTTAAAATGGTAAATTTTTGGGGCTGGGAAGGTGGCTCAGTGGTAGAGTGCTTGCCTTTGCATGCATGAGGCCCTGGGTTCGATTACTCAGCACCACATAAACAGAAAAAGCGGGAAGTGGGCATTGTGACTCAAGTGGTAGAGTGCTAGCCTTGAGCTGAAGAGCTGAGGGAAGAGCACCCAGGCTCAGAGTTCAAGCCACACTACTGACAAAAACAAAATAAAACAAAACAAAAAACTCAAGCACAGCACCAGTGGCTCATGCCTGTAATCCTATAATCCTAGCTACTCCGGAGGCTGAGATCTGAGGAGGAAGCCAGCTGAGGCAGGAAATTCCATGAAACTCATCTCCAATTAACCACCAAAAAGCTGGAATTGGAGTTGTGGCTCAAAGTAGTAGAGCATTAAGACTTGAGCAAAAAAGGCTCAGGGACAGAGCCTAGGTGCTGAGTTCAAGCCCCATAACCAACCAAAAAACCCACAACAAATCACCCAAGACATTTTCATGCTTACCAAAATTTAAAATTCTTTATACTTCATTCTATCTGCCTGCCTATCTTTCTGTCTATATAATCAGTCTATTCCATTTTTGTATTCTTCTGTATCCTGTACTAATATGGCATGACCTTTGCAAAAACTCAGCAAATATCTGTGGTGGCTTATGATGTAAGGAACTGCCAGGGCAACTCAAATCCCAATTCCTGAGAAGAGCTCTGGAGCCAGACAGACCTGAGGTGAACTTTGCCTCTTGTCTCAACTATGTGACCTTAGCCACTTAACCTTCCTGTGCTTCAGTTTCCTCTTCTGTAAAGTGGGAATAATGACTATACTAACTTCCTTGGGGCTATTATGAGACTGAAATTAAATACCAGGTGAAGCATGACTAATGTGGCTTCAGTTATTCATTGTATAACAAAAACATTAAATGGAAAATTCCAGAACTTATAACTTGCAACTTACAGTTTCAAACTGTACATCATTCTGAGTAGCATGATTAAAATCTTGTCCTAGTCTGTTCTGCCTGAAATGTAAACAACCGCTTTGTTCAGTATTATTCATGCTACAAATGCTACCTGCCTGCTAGTTACTTAGTAGCTGTCTCAGTTATCACACAGTCTGTCTTGGTATGATAGTGTTTGTATTAAGTAACCTTTATTTTTCTAGTAATAGCCTCAAAGCATAAGACCACCAACTAATGCTGGCAACTCAAATATGCCAGAGAGAAGTCTTAAACTGCTTCCTTTAAGGATTATTTTACAAATCATAAAGTGAGTATAGCACTGTAAGACTTTTTTTTTTTTTGTCGGTCGTGGGGCTTGAACTCGGCCTGGGCGCTGTCCCTCAGCTCTTCAGAAAAAAGCTAATGCTCTACCACTTGAGACACAGCGCCACTTCTGGCTTTTTTCTTTTTGCTTATGTGGTACTGAGGAATGGAACCCAGGGCCTCATGCATGCAAGGCAAGCGCTCTGCCACTGAGCCACCTTCCCAGCCCCAGGAGCAGATATTTAAGAAGCCCTCATTACATGTCAGCCATTGCACTTGGAGCTTTATGTAACATTCATCACCCAAGAACTAAAGGTACCAGAAAAATGTGAAGTTTCCACTTAGAAAGTTCCTTTATGCTTGTTTGTGTCTGTATCCGTGGAGTCTCAGTGTATGTCCCCAAATGAGAAAGCTGCTTAGCCTGGATTTATCATGGGTATTCTTCATGTTTGCATTGCCAGCAGAAATCGTGTTTCCCAACTTCCCCCAATCCCAAGGATGCCTAGCCTCCAGCTGTTGATTTTGCCCCCTAGTGGCATTAAAAGTACAGGTGTTGGAAGTGCAGAGATTACCTCCCACCCAAAAGAGAACCCTGAAGGCAATGGGAAGGAGCATCTCAATTCTAGGGGTAGAAGATGAAGGGGGGGGTGGGAGGGGGGGAAGAGAGGGTAGTGTAGTGTAGCCTGCTATTTCCAGTTCCTGTGAATTCTCTAAATCAGAAATTATAATTGTTACATAAAAGCTTCACATTAACTATCAGATTTTAGTGTAAGTTTTTTTTTTTTTT